TTTTTTTTGGTTGCAGCCATCATTGTTATTTGGTGGGCCTGGGCTGGATTCGAACCCGCCACCTTAGGTGTATGTGGCTGGCGCCTTAGCCACTTGAACCACAGGCGCCGAGCCTAAGCGATTACTTTTGACTGAAGAGTTTATTCTGTATAAGTAGAGTTATACCTCAAACAGAATTTGGTTTGGCTTATGTAGCTAAATGTATATCTTCAAAAACAATACAAATATTTCAGAGGCTTGAAGTTTTGTGTATTTGATTTGACTGATCTCAGATTAGCAAGTAAAGTTTAGAACAGTTTAAGGAGATATCACTGTGACAGGCTATTTTTGGTTACAGTTGTTTATCTGCCCCACGCCAGTTCAAGCCCACCACCCTCAGTGTATGTGGCTGGTGCCATAACCGCTGTGCTACAGGCGCGGAGCCTTTTTTTTTTTTTTTTTCTTGAGGCTTTGTAACCTTTCAGCTTGAAAAGATTGCAGTGACATAAAACCTAACACCATGCTATCGACTTAGAAATTTTAAAATTATGTAAGAAAGGTGTTATAGATAAGTCTCTTTTTTTTTTTTTTTTTTTTTGACACAGAGTGTCAGTATGTTGCCTTCAGTAGAGTGCTATGGCCTCTGTCACATCTCACAGCAACCTTCAACTCTTTGGCTTAAGCGATTCTCTTGACAAAGCCTCCTAAGCATCTGGGACTACAGGTGCCTGCCACAGTGCCTGACTATTTTTTTTTTTGCAGTTTTTTTGGCCGGGGCTGGGTTTGAACCCACCACCTCTGGCATATGGGGCCAGTGCCTTACTCCTTTGAGCCATAGATGCCGCCCAACGCCCGGCTGTTTTTCTGCTGGAGTTGTCATTGTTGCTTAGCTGGCCCAGGCTGGGTTCAAACCCATCACCCTCAGTATATGTGGCTGGTGCCATAACCACTGTGCCCATAAACTTAATTATAAATTATTATTTTTTAAAAAGCATCTCTTGGTTATCTGGTAATTCAAATTAGCCTAATTAAGCTTTGTTCTGTAACTTAGTTGTTTTTTGTTTGTTTTGAGGGAGCTAAGCATATAATTATGTGCTCTAATGTAGTTAGGGACTTGAAGTTTGAAAAAACTTGGCTCAGTGCCCATAGTTCAGTGAATAGGGCGCTGGCCACATACATGGAGGGTGGCAGGTTCGAACCTGGCCTTGGCCTGCTAAACAACAATGACAACTGCAACCAAAAAGTAGCCAGGTGTTGTGGAGGGTGCCTATAGTCCCAGCTGCTTCGGAGGCTGAGGCAGGAGAATTACTTAAGCCTAAGACTTTGAGGTTGCTATGAGCTGTGAAGCCACAGCAGTCTGTGGAGGGTGACATAGTGAGACTCTATCTCAAAAAAAAGAAAGAAAAAGAAAAAGTAATGGTTTTTATTAGAATTGACATAAAGTTTTATTAAATATATATGTTTTTTGCAGTTTTTGGCTGGGGCTGGGCTTGAACCCACCACTTCCAGCATATGGGCTCAGCGCCCTACTCCTTTGAGCCATAGGTGCTGTCCTAAATAAATTTTTTATAATCTTTGTCATCAGTAGCACAAATCTCAAGTTATTTTTTTTTTATTTTTAAATAATGAGACTTTACTATTTTCGACTTTTACCAGGTTATGTTTTTACACTAGTGTGTATAAAGGAAGATTAATAGTGCCCTTTTTTTCTTTTTAAATTTCAGCAGCGATGAAAAGACTGGTGATGGGAAAGATGTTGAAGAATCCAGTAAATCTTCCTGTATTGTTTCCCACAAAAGAAAGCGAATGCCAAGTACTTCTAGTCTTGTTAAACCTAGTGTTAGTATTCCTTCAGAATCTCATCCCTTATCCACAGTTAACCAAGAAACTCCACAGCCAAACCCCAGTCCAACGAAGGAGAAACAGCCATGCTCAGATAGATATCGGATATATAAAGCCCAGAAACTGAGGGAAATGTTAAAAGAAGAATTGAGGAAAGAGAAGGTAAGGCAAGACAATTAGAATTTTTATATTACCTGCTGGATTTCTGTTTTTGTGTTAATCAGGCATCATTTGGAAGAAAAACATCTGTGGCATTTTGATTAGAGCATAAAACCATATACCATCCCTTGTTGTTAGAAAAATATTCTTTTGTTAGTCCGTGAAGAAGCCCAGTGGACTTAGTAAACCACTATTCTCAGTGATGGTGATTTTTACTTTTTTTTTTTTTTTTTTGAGACAGAGTCTCACACTGTCCCCTTCGTAGAGTGCTGTGGCATCACAGTTCACAGCAACCTCAAACTCTTGGGCTTACGTGATTTTCTTGGCTCCTCCTCCCAAGTAGCTGGGACTATAGGTGTCCACCACAGTGCCCAGCTATTTTTAGAGATGAGGTTTCACTCTGGCTCAGGTAGTCCACCTGCCTTGGCCTCCCAGAGTGCTAGGAATACAGCTGTGAGCCTCTGAGCCTGGCCCTACGTATTTTATTCATTTGTATTTTTCATATTTTTGGTGAAGATCTCAAATAAAAAGTTTTATGTACGTAATATAGATACTCAAACATTTATAAAATAAACCTTCAGTTATATTTTTACATGAAGATATCCAAGTGACACGTGGTATGCTTACTTGAATTCAGACAAATATAGTTGAGGAAAATGAATTGCTATATTTTTTTTGAGATGGCCTCAAGCTGTTCCCCTGGGTAGAGTGCTGTGGCATCACAGCTCACAGCAACCTCCAACTCCTGGACTCAGGCGAGTCTCTTGCCTCAGCCTCCCAAGTAGCTGGGACTACAGGCGCCTGCCACAACGCCTGGGCTTTTTTTGGTTGTAGCTGTCATTGTTGTTTGGTGGGCCCAGGCTGGATTCGAACCCACCACCTTAGGTGTACAGTGGCTGGTGCCTTAGCCACTTGAGCCACAGGCGCTGAGCCTGAATTGCTATTGTGTATTTATTTATGAATGTATTTATTTATGAATGACAGAGTCTCACTCTGCTGCCCTAGGTAGAGTGCCAAGGCATCATAGTTCACAGCAACCTCAAACTCTTGGGCTTGTCTCAGCCTCCTGAGTAGCTGGGGCTATAGCTGCCTACTACAACTCTTGCTCAGGCTGGTCTTGAACTCCTGAGCTCAAGCAGTTCACCTGCCTCTGCCTCCCGGTGTACTAGGATTATAGGCATGAGCCTCTGCTTGGCCTAATTGTTTTCTAAATTGGCAATAAGGAAAATTACAAATAGGAAAAGTTTGTAGTATGTTTAATAGTCCATGTTCTTTTTAATCTTAGAGATTGATTTTTTTTTTCCCTTTAAGAGTAGTATAACATGGCTCAACTCCTGTGGCTCAAGTGCCTAAGGTGCCAGCCACATACCCCTAAGGTGGCAGGTTTGAATCCAGCCCAGGCCCACCAAACAACAATGTTGGCTGCAACCAAAAAACATAGCCAGGCATTGTGGTGGGTGCCTGTGGTCCCAGCTACTTGGAAGGCAGAGGCAGGAGATTCGCTTGAGCCCAGGAGTTGGAGGTTGCTGTGAGCTATGATGCCACAGCACTCTACCCAGGGGGACAGGTTGAGGCTCTGTCTCAAAAAAAAAAAAAAGAATAGTATAACAGTAGCGAGGTATGCTGGCCGTGGAGTTAGATACATGAGGTTTGACTCTTAGCTTCATCCTTTATTAGCTGTGTGACTTTGGATAATTTAATTAATCTATATCTATTCCTCATCTGTAAAACAGGACCAATAATGGCACAGGTTCAGCATCCCTAACTTGAAAAATCTGAAGTGCTACAAAATCTGAAACTTTTTGAATGCTGGTGTGGTGCTCAAAGGAAATCAGAGCAGTTTGGATTTTGGATTTTCAGATTAGGGATGTTCAACTCATATGTACTTTTATTTCAAAATGTAAAGAAATATTAAATCTGAAACATTTTTGTCCCAAACATTACAATAAAGGCTATTCAACCCTTATCTATTTCATTGGAGGGTTGTGAAGATTAAATGAGTTAATACATGTAAAAGACATTTAAATTGCTGTCTTGCAAATTGGTATTAAGTGTCCAACCACTGTCAGCTCATGGTATAAAAAAAAGGATACTACTTTTTTTTTTTTTTTTTTAAGAGACAGAGTCTTATTTTGTTGCCCTCGGTAGAGTGTGGTGGCACCTCAGCTCTTGGGCTTAGGCGATTCTCTTGCCTCAGCCTCCTGAGTAGCTGGGACTATAGGCTCCTGCCATGAGGCTTGGCTATTTTTTTGTTGCAATTTGGCTGGGCTGGGTTTGAACCTACCACCCTTGGTACTTGGGGCTGGCGCCCTACTCACTGAGCCGTAGGTCTGCCCTAATTTTTAAAAACTAAAAACTATTAAGGGTCATGTACTACAGTCTTTTTAATATTTAGTTTATAAAATTACGTAATTGGAGTAAGGATAATAATAAAGCATTTGCAATGAATGTAACAATAGACTGTGTATTTGAATATAGTACATCTCAAATTCTTCTATATTTATAAAATAAAAGTGGATCTGTGTGTTTGTACATATAGAAGCAATGGAAAAACAAATGTGCTATAAGTGAAAGTCAGAAGCCACGAGATCGTTCAAAAATGACTATGAGAGACCTCATTTATTACCTGCCAGATAACAATCCAATGACGTAAGTAAAATTTGTTTTACTTTTTTGGGGTATGTAGTGGTTTAAATATCACATTTAGAGTACAAGTTCATGTTCTAAAAACCAGTTGTCAAATTTGTAATACATACAATAGCCTTTTACACAGAATTGTTTTTTTCCTGTGAAGATCCCAGAAGTGTGTAGATAGAATTTTCTAACCAATATTAGTGGTGTTTCAAGTAACTGCTTACTGGGGATGGTAAATGATGCTTTTTATCTCTAAGATTAAAAATAAATTTCCTGGGCCAGGCACGGTGGCTCATGCCTGTAATCCTAGCACTCTGGGAGGCCAAGATGGGTGGATTGCTTGAGCTCACGAATTCGAGACTAGTCTGAGCAAGAGCAGGACCCTGGACTATTCAGGATGCTGATTCAGGAGGATCACTTGAGCCCAACTATTTGAGGTTGCAGTGAGCTGTGATTGCACCACAGCACTCCAGCCTGGGTGACAGAGTGAGAACTTGCCTTTTAAAATTTAAAAACAAAAACCAAAAAACACAGCTTTTCTTTTTTGTTACATTAATCAGGCACGTAAAATCAGCTAAGCAATTTTTTTTAAGATTGTAATTTCTATTTTTTATGTAGTGGCAGTTTAATAAATCCTCCAAAAATAAACGTAATAAGGAGATTTATTACTTTCATGTCCGCCCCACCCCAGGCTAATTTTGAATAAAATTTATTTAGAATAATTTAGCCTAGGGTGGGGCGGGCAGGAATGTAATAAATCTCCTTGTTGTGTGCCTGAGGTAGAAGTTGTGGCATGTTCTTCTGAGTAGTCCTTGTTTACATTTATCACGTCTTTGGCCTGGTTGATGGAAGGGCTAGAAACCTAGGTTTTGAGTTGTCTGATACTGAGCAGTTGAATAGAGAAAGCTACCTGGTTGCATCACACCTTGGGACTGGTAACTTCCCTTCACTGAGGACTTAGGGGGTAAGAGTGTTCTCTACTTAGTGCCTACCACATTATTTTTGCTTAAGGAGAAGTTTTTGACTGAAAACTGATTGTTGGACTGCACTGTCATTAGTTATGTGCTATAGTATGTTTAAAAAACCCCCATGGAACTTAGAATACTTTGCTTTTTACCTATAGATAGAATTGATAAGATATAAATTAGTAGTGTATAATATAAGTGTTCTGTTATTTGTGTTTAATAGTTCTTCACTGGAACAAGAAAAGAAAGTGGAAAAGTCATTGCCTGCAGTCCAGACAAGAGAGTAAGCATGCTTTTTTAAAAAAGTATATTCTGGCTTGGTGCTTGCAGCTCAAGTGGCTAAGGTGCCAGCCACATACACCAGAGCTAGTGGGTTCAAATCCAACCCGGGCCTGCCAAACAATAATGACAGCTGCAACCCCCCCAAAAAACTCAGGTGTTGTGGCAGGCGCCTGTAGTCCCAGCTACTTGGGAGGCTGAGGCAAGAGAATCGCCTAAGCCCAGGAGTTGGAGGTTGCTGTGAGCTGTGTGATGCTACAACACTACCCAGGGAGACAGCTTGAAGCTCTGTCTCAAAAAAAAAAAAATGTGTGTGTGTGTGTGTGTGTGTGTGTGTGTGTGTGTGTGTGTGTGTATTCTGTTATGACTCCATTAAAAATATGAAATTAGGGCCTGAGCACAGTGGCTGACAATTGTGATTTCAGCCTTTTGGCCAGCCAAGGTGGAAAGATAATTTGTGACCAGCATGGGCAAAATAGCAAGATCTTATCTCTTTAAAAAAAAAATAAAGAAAGGAAAAGAAGAAAAATTAACCAAGGCGGTGCTAGTAGCTCACTGGGAAGGGCATGGGCCATATACACCAAGGCTGGCGGATCCAAACCTGGCCCTGGCCAGCTAAAACAGTAATGCACCTGCAACAACAACAAGAAAAAATAGTTGGGCGTTGTGGCAGGTACCTGTAGTCCCAGCTACTTGGGACGCTGGGGCAAGAGAATCGCTTAAGCCCAAGAGTTTGAGGTTGCTGTGAGCTGTGATGCCAGGGCACTCTACTGAGGGTGACATAGTGAGACTCTGTCTCAAAGAAAAATTAACCGAGTGTGGTCGTGTGTGTCTAAAAGTCCCGGCTATTCGGGAGGCTGAGGTGAAAGGATCACTTAAGTCCAAGAGTTTGAGGCTGTGGTGATTAGCCTGAGCAACAGAGTGAGACCCTGTCTCTTAAAAAAAAAAATGAAATCACATAGTGTTTCCTTTTATAATCAAATTACATGTATGTGGAGTTTGAAAATAGACTCAATAAAAATTGGAGTTACTGCCCTTTTGTAATAAATCAGTATGAAAGTCCTATACTACTTTGGTATTACATATGTAACTGACCAATATTATGATTTTATTTACTTATTTTATTATTCATTTTTTTTGAGACAGCCTCAAGCTGTCTTCTTGGGTAGAGTGCTGTGGCACCACACGTCACAACAACCTCCAATTCCTGGGCTTAAGCAATTCTCTTGCCTCAGCCTCCCAAGTAGCTAGGGCTATAGGTACCTGCTACAACATTCAGCCATTTTTTGGTTGTAGTTGTCATTGTTGTTTGGCAGGCCTAGGTTGGATTTGAACCTGCCAGCTTTGGTGTATGTGGCTGGTACCTTAGCTGCTTGAGCTACAGGCGCCGAGACCAATGTTATAATTTTAAATTAAAGCTTTTATAATTAAGAAAGCCTAATGTTGGCTTGGTGCCCATAGTATAGTATTGATGGTGCCAGCCACATGCATCGAGGTTGGTGGGTTTGAACTGGCCCCGGCCAGCTAAACAACAGTGACAAGTGAAACAAAAAATAGCTGGGCATTGTGGCAGGCGCCTGTAGTCCCAGCTACTTGGGAAGCTGAGGTAAGAGAATCGCTTAAGCCCAACAATTTGAGGTTGCTGTGAGCTATTTCCCATTGCACTCTATCAAGGGCAGCATAATGAGATTCTGTCTCAAAAAACAAAGCCTGGTGGCTCATGTCTGTAATGCTAGCCCTCTGGGAAGCCTGAGGGGGATGGATTGCCCTGAGCTCACAGGTTCCAGACCATCCTGAGCAAGAATGAGAACCCTGTCTCAACAAAATAGACTAGCCAAGCATGTTGATGAGTGCCTGTAGTCTCAGCTACTTGGGACGCTGAGGCAAGAGTATTGCTTGAGCCCAAGAGTTTGTGGTTGCTATGAGTTGTGATGCCACGGCACTCTACCAAGGATGACAAAGTGAGACTCTTGTCTCAAGAAAAAAATAAGAAAGCTTTGTTTTGTCTTAGAATAGTGATGTATATGCACATGCTTCAAAATTCAAGAGGACCAAAAGTGAATACACTGAGTAGTCTTCTGATTCATTTTCTGTAATCTTCTGTCCCTGGACTGAACAAATGTTACCAATTTTTTTTTTTTTTTTTTTTTAGCTGGGGCAGAGTTTGAACCCACCACCTTTGCATATGGGGCTGGCACCCCATTCCTTTGAGCCACAGGCACCACCTAGTTACCAATTTTTTTAATGTATCATTCCAGTTCTAGTCTTGCTATCTAAGCAAATGTGTATATATGTGTTTCTTTTTGTATTTCTTCACAGGAAGTTAGAATGCCTTATATGCTGTCTTGCAACAGCTATATCTTTGGTGTCATTGTATGTAGTCTTCTTTTCTGTACAAACTTCCTTTAGTCTTCCATGTACATGACTGTCATAGGTTAGCTAACTCTCAAGAAATCCTGCCAAGAGACCCTTCAGGAAGTTACTGTAGCATTGTACAATTCTAGTTATTGTAGCCTTGTAATTTGAATTGGGATACTGTGGAAAATTATCAGAAACATTGGGAGTTCTCTAGTTTTTACTTTAAGGGTTAATTATTGATCATTATTTGCCTAGAATCTATATTGTTTTAAAGCAGTTCATGGAAGCTTTAAAAATAGTTAGGTTTTACAGGTTTATAGTTTGTGCTTGTTTTAATAAAACCTTAAAGAGGCCAGGCACAATGGCTTATTCTTAGCACTTTCACTTTTTTTTTTTTTTTTT